GATCCCTCCCGAAACCAGACTGCAGGCACAGGTGAGTGAGTGCCAAGTCTGAGTATCCATTAACCAGGCTAACTGTACTTTCTTTCCACCCTGCTGATTCTCTGAGACCCTGTGCCACTCAATTCACACACCTAGCCATAACCTCTTTCAAAGGTTGATCCACACAAGTGACCAATCAGGGAATGTACTAAGGCCGTGGTCAGCAAACTGTGGCTCGGGAGCCACATGCGGCTCTTTGGCCCCTTGAGTGTGGCTCTTCCTAAGCCTTACGAGTACCCTAATTAAGTTAATAACAATGTACCTACCTATATAGTTTAAGTTTAAAAAAATTTGGCTCTCAAAAGAAATTTCAATTGTTGTACTGTTGATATTTGGCTCTGTTGACTAATGAGTTTGCCGACCACTGCACTAAGGACTTTCCTAAAATCTCTGAAAGGTCCACAAACTGCAAACCATGTGTGTGCTGTACCTATTGCTAAGTGGCCCTAAGCCCAGCATTAGTAAACCAATCACAGTTCACAGCATAACCACTCAGAGGCACAGCTGATGAAGGAAATAGACATATAAGTCCAGAAAAAGCAGTGAGTCCCAAGATGAACCCCAAAGGGGCCCACACCAAGACACACCAGTAGTAAAATGGCAAAGATTAAAGACAAAGAGAGAATCTTAAAAGCAGCAAGAGAAAAGCAATTCATTATATTCAAGGGAGCTCCTATAAGATTTCTCAAAAGAAACTTTGCAGGCCAGAAGGTACTGGCAAGAAATATTCAAAGTAATGAAAAGCAAGGACCCACAACCATGATTACTCCATCCAGTAAAGCTATCATTTAGAATCAAAGGACACATAAAGAGCTTCCCAGACAAGAAAAAGCTAAAGGAGTTCATCACCAGCAAACCAGTATTAAATAAAATGTTAAAGGATCTTCTTTAAGAAGAATAAGGAAAAAAAAGATAAAAAATATGAATAATAAAATGGCAACAAATACAGATCTATTCAACAATTGAATCTAAAAAACAAAACAAACAAGCAGAACAGAAACAGATTCATAGATACAGAGAACATTGTGGTAGTTGCCAGATGAGAGGTGGGTTGCAGGGATGGGTAAAACTGGTGATGGGAATAAGAAGTACAACCTGGTAGTTATAGAATAGTCATGGAGATGTATAGTACAACATGGGGAAAATAGTCAATAATATTATAATAACTATAAATGGTGTCAGATGGGTATTAGATTTATTGGGATGATCACTTAGTAAATTATATAATGTCTAATCACTGGGTTGTACACTTGAAACTAATATATTATATGTCAACTGCAATTGGAAAATTTAAGAAAATTGTTCACATTGATAACAGTTAGGAAAATATATTATCTTTTTCACTGGTTAAGATTTCTGCTTATTTCTTTTCATAATAACTATGAAGCACAAAATATAAAACATTACCTTCTGTAAGTTCCATTCAGGTTGTTCACTAGTTGCATCATGTCCTATCCTTATTTTATATATCTCTCCAATGTTTCTTATTTCAACCTGAATGAAATGCAAAGGAGAAAAAAATAGCAGAATGTTTTAAATTAAGCACATTAAATTTTTTTCTTCCTACCAAATACTTTTTATTTTTTGGTTCCTAATATTTAAAAAGCTCTCAAGGACCCTTTCAGAGTCTAAAAATTAGGTCCTCTCAAGAAGCTATCAGTGGTTTACACAGACACAGAGTATAAGACAGAAATAACATGAGACTTGACTAAAAATATGCAAAAAGAGTTAGATGAAAGAATAGGATAAAGAGCAGACATATGCTCAGTACTCTGACTACATTTCTCACTAGAAACCAATGTGTTTTGAGATGAGTCCCAATGACATAAACATGAGTTTTTATTTTAAGAAAATAAGCAACTTTCATCAAAGCTAAATGTGGTGAGTTCTATAAACTTAAGGAAAAGTACCAATGAGTCTAGAACTTCCTTTTACTCTGAAAATCCTCTTGTTTATCTCATAGGCTAAGACACAGATGTTCAAAGTTCAAGGAAGAGAAACAAACCTGTCCACACATTATGTATACTTGGCAAGTTTTTTATATGGTCCAAGAGTATTTGTTTATCTAGGGAGCATTGTGGAAAACTGACTTTGGAATAACTTTGAGCTCAGTTTGGATCCTGGCTGTTATGAGTAAAATATGGTGTTTTCATCTCTCATCAATTTCTTTATCTGTTGAATGGACATAATATCGACCGCATACAATTTTCAGTTGACCTAAATGCTTGTTTAACACAATAATGTGGGCATCGTGCAAGGCCACAGATATACAAAGATGAAAATAATGGCACACTCCTTAACATAGAGATATTTATAATCTAGTGAGGAAGACCGATTTATAAGCTGACACTTTCTGTATTATAAGATATATCTAGGACAGTGGTTGGCAAACTGTGGCCCCTTGCGTGTGGCTCTTCCACAAAATACCACGTGCAGGTGCGCATATACAATGCGACTGAAACTTCGTGGCCACACGCAAGGGGCCAAAGAGCCGCATGTGGCTCACGAGCCGCAGTTTGCCAACCACTGATCTAGGACACTGAACTCTGAGGATTAAAAAGGTGAAATGCTACCTTATTATTTAATAGCTTAAGTAATAGCGAACCATCAGAATTTCATAATCTCTTTCATAACACTTCCCATACTTAGAAATTTTCTTAAGTGTCCACCACCAACAACACTTCCTCCCATAGACTAGCCCTGGGGCTATTACAACACCAGGAAGGAATATGCCGGCATTGACTAGGAGGAAGAAACAGAGGGCTCTTAATCCCGTAGAGCCAACTTCTGCCCCACTTTCTTATACCCAGAGTCAGTCTCAGCAGTAGAACTCAAACTAGCTCTTCCCAGCAAATGTAACAGTAAGTTATCCCATAGTCCGAGTTTGGTTTCTCTCTGCAAGGTAAGCCAACTTTTATATATACTACTTTTGTCCCAAGAATCTATTAGCATTTAAGGGCAAACTTACTCTTTTTACACATTCTAAGTGACAAAAATAAAAGGATAACTGAACAGACAGGTTACCTAGTATATGTTACTTCATGCCTGTCTGCCTGTTACTCTGGAGAATGGAACTACCATGCAATCAGCTCAACTACATGTCAGCCAGGAGGCAAGTGCCTGGCATGCACTGTCTCTTCCAATCTGCAGAGTAGCCCTGGGAAGAGTAAGGCTCTTTACAGAGTCTACTTTAAAAAATGAAGAAATAAAGAGGTTAAGTAATTTGTCTAAGGATACACAGATGGATACATAACTGGTGAGTTCCAAAGTAAAATTCAAAGACAAGCTTGTTTCATCAGAAATATCCCACTGTCCTCAAAAATGGCTCACTTCAGGATTGGAAGAACGGAAAAGAGAATGAAAAACTAATTCAGAAGTGGCAAATGATAGTGAGGAAAAAATAAGTCAATGCCTACAGACAAGAGAGCAGATAGGAATGAGCTGGCTGGTCCTAATTTAGGGTTCTCAGACTATCAAGAGGTCCCAGTAGCATTGTGCCTTAAGCCTTAGACTATGTTTCTCAAACATGAGTATAAATGCAAATTACATGGGGGTCTTTTAAAATGTAGATTCTGACTCAGTAGATCTGGTATGGGGCCTGAGATGTCGCATGTCTAACCACCTCCCAGGTGATGCCCATGCTGCTGGCCTGAGGTCACTAGGCCCTACACTCCTACAGGTCTTTCATACCCATCCCTGATCTCTACCACTGATCTCTAATTTAAGAGCTATTACTTAAGCTATTAAATAATAAGGTGGTGGGCACTTAAGACACTGAGGTAGTGTCTTAGAGCTAAGTCCTTGCTCTCACTCCACAGTAAATAGGAGGAGCTAGAAGAAAATATATGCTGATGCCATTGACCAGGAGAGAGAGTCTTCAGTTACTAATGTTCGTAGCGCACTTCCCATCTACCAGGGAGAGTGCATATCACATACATTCCCTGACATTCTTTTAAAGTCACAACAAGACTTTTTAGTAAGTGTTTTATGCTGCACCTTTACCAAAAAGGAAATTAAAGATTAGTGGGGATAAGCAATCTGTTCAAGGTCAATATGGCTTTGAACCTGGTCTCCGTGACTCCAAGACCAGTATTCCTAACATTTACTACATTCCCTATATGTCAATAGAATTTTTAAAATATACACATTTTTTCTTTTGGTCATCAGACTACCCTAAAATTTAGAAAAAAAGAAACACATGTCACTGCCTCTATTCTATATGTAAAAATAAGGCTGGCCTGAGAAAAATAAGTGATATATTCAAGGTCACACATAGAAGACATGGAAAGCTAGGACTCCAATCCAGCTCACATGGTTTACAGTCTAGTGCTGAACCTGGCAAAATAACCAGTCTCTGGAAGTGGAACCAGGCAGCAGTAGTTTTTAAAATTCCTCAGGAGACTCCAATGTGCAATCAACACTGATTATCCTTTCCAAGATTGAGCCCTGAGTAAATTTTTCCAGAAAAACATTGAGAGGATTTACCAGCAAATGAGTGCATATACCAGAAGATATAGTATGGGCAATCATAGGCCTGTGGGCTGGCCTAGTGATCTAACCATAGCACACATATAGTGAATTCTAAACAATCGCCTTCAAATAATCTTTTGAAATACATATGTGCATTGAGCAAAAGTGCTCCTTCATGACTTCATAATAGCTTTTTTTTTTTCAACTTAAAATTTGCAAAAACAGAATACCAGGCTCTGATCTGGAGATCTAGAAACCATGGGGGTTTGAGATACTGCTGCCTCAAACAGCCTTGGCTTCCAGTGACTTGAGTTGACCTCAATCATTCTCTATCCAGTCTTATGATACTAAGATATATTCTCCAGGGAACACAACTGATTTTCAACAGCTCTCAGCCTGTGGGGATGGGGGTGGGGTGGGGATTAGTGAAGTGGAATGTGATTGTCCTAATTAAAGTCTGTCCAAAACCCTGAGGAACTAGGAGGCAACCAGTGACACTCAAAACAATGCAGCCCAGTTTTCTCTGATGCTAATTAAAATAGAGAGATATTCAAACGGACATTGGCAGAGCTTCAAAATATGGCTTCTGAACATGCCAAAAAGATGATTTCACACCATACAGCTCAGCTGAGTGACATCTAAAAGTATGTGCAAGTATAAAGAAAAAAGGGTTTACATTATCAGAAGAATTATAACCAGATTGAATTTGGTTATAATTCTAATCTGGTTATAATTTGAGTTGAAATTGATGATTTATGGGGGCAATTTCAAACCAATGTTCTAAAAATTATCTTTAAAGAAAGAAATTTCTTCTATCACTTTCCTTGTTTGGCCCTAGCTGGTTTGGCTCAGTAGGTAGAGTGTCAGTCTCTGAACTGAAGGGTCTTGGGTTCTATTCCTGTGAATGGCACATGCCCAGGTTGCAGACTTAATCACCAGTAGGGGGTGTGCAGGAGGCAGCCAATCAATGATTCTCTCTCATCATTGATGTTTCTATCTCTCTCTCTCTCTCTCTCTCTCCCTTCCTCTCTAAAATCAAAACTATATTTTTAAAAATAAACTGTCCTTGTTTGTATAAGATATGTGAAGGGAAAATGTTTCCTTTGATGATTACAAATAGGCATTAGGATAACTTATGAGAATTCTAATAGACCAGAGATTTATTTTACACAGAACACACATGCACACACAATCACACCCTCCTGTATTATAGAAATACCTTTGAAATGGTCAAAAAACTATATTCCTACCGATATTGTTTACCTGAAACTCATCCTCCTGTCTTGGAAGGAATAGCTGCTCTGGGCTGTCCTTGCTAAGACTTATTGGTCCAGTGACTCCTTCATCTCCATACACCCAGAGTGTGGCATTGGCTCGAGTCCCTGTGTTTCCTGTCAGCACTAACACCTTCCATTCATCTTCTGACAGAAGAGTCTCACTGCTCTGGGAAGGTCTGACTTCTGTGGGGGTAAAAAAGCATTAGTGGCAGATCAGGTGCAATGTCAGGCTGACAGGATCCTTTGTCTCATGGAGCCCAAGGACATCAAACAGAGCAGGGAGGGGTGGGGCGGGCAGGGAGGCACCGAACTGCTACAAACTCCAGAGACCTGATTTGTGCTCCTCTCCTCTCAACAAGGCTCTGGTCAACGGAAACTGAAGAAAATTCAATGAGGACAATAAACATTTGAAATGCCTGGCAATCTCTTACTTGTCCTCAACACTTCAACACGGATGCGTGCTGGAATTTGCAGTCTGTGTCCATAGATTTCTCATAAAGCTGCCTGCCTGGATCACAGGTTTTTAGACAGAGCTACTGCAATATAAAGTAACAAAGAAAAGTGGAATCAAAACACACTTTCAAATGAGATGTGAAAATAGCAATTTTTGAGGAGAGGGAAAAATTTTCTGAAATAGTTCGGGGGGGTTGGGAGGGGGGAGCCCTACGGGAAAGAGCAATGTAAGGATCAGAAACCACAGACAGAATTTTCACAAATGCAAGTGGTTTCTGAAGTGCTTAGAGCAGGTTTTCTGTGGGGGCAGGGACCACATGGCGGCAGTGTGTCCCAAGGCAGCCTCCATCAGCCAGGAGGAGCCCAACAGCAGCTCCTTGTTTGTAAGAGATGCTTATAACGGGAAGTTCCCAACTTGCCGTCTTCTTTGCACTCAGCTTAGCCTGTTGCCTCATGAAGGAGATACTGGGGAAAGTAGTGCTAAGAGCACTGTCCCAGCTTCTCTGCATCGGTTGTCTAAATTGCCCCAACATTTGCATGTTAACTCTTAACTGAGATTTCCAGGTAGAAATCATATATTACAGACTTAGGTCATAAATTAAATGTCCTTATGTCAAATGGTTAAAAGGAAGCCAAGACTCTCCCTACATTTAATTATATGGAATGAAATAATAGGCAACCTTAGGAAGCACCTAGGATCTTAGTACAGCATTAGCATGATGACAACAAACCCAGGAAGTGGCTAGTTACTTCCTGCTATAATAAATTTTAAAATAAAACAAAAACTATGCTGAAAAGTGTATTTGCTAAGAAAGGACTTACCTTTATCTTTTAAAGGTGCCTCCACTTTACCATCCTAGATCATCTCTATCACTATAATAGTAAGCATTTTTTTCAATTATAATAATAATCACCATTTATTAAGCTCCTATTATATGCTAGGCTCCTTGTTGAATGCTTCATATTCATTTTTTCATTCCATGAAGTCAAATTATGTTGTCCATTTTAAAATGAGAAAAAGAGATAGAGGCTAAGTAATGTGCCCAAGTCATATAATAAATAAATAATGAAATATCTAAATCCGAAGCCTCTGTACTTAAATGAGCTGGGTAGCTGTTCTGTGTTCATTTAAAGACAGTTCAGCA